CCTTGTCCAAAGCCCCTCTCCAGGTTTCCTGAAGCCCCTTTAGGCACGGGAGCTGCTCTAAGGTGTCCCCTTCAGGAGCCTTCTCTTCTCCAGCTGCCCCAGCCCAGTTCTCTCAGCCTGGCTCCAGAGCAGAGCTGCTCCAGCCCTCGCAGCAGCTCCGGGGCCTCCTCTGACCTCGCTCCAGCAGCTCCACATCCCTCTCATGTTGTTGCCCCCAGAGCTGGATAGGACTCCATACAAAGGGTTCCATCAGTGCTGGGACCTTCATGGAGACACCCTAGTCCATCTGGGTAAGCACACATGCCTACCAGCTCCCTTGGTCATGGGTGCTCCCATTCTCTCTGCTTATACCAGTAGCATGAGGGGATGAGGTTGGCAACACAAGACCCATTGGTCTCACTGCCCATGGCAGAGGGTTGGAGCTGGATGATCTTAAGGTCCTTTCCACCCCAAACCATTCTATGATTCTACAATTCTATGCCTCAGCTCTTGGTAGGAGTGGCTGCAGCTCAGGGTGGAATGACTTGCAGGAAGGTGATGGTCTCCATGCCATTCCCTTGCTCCCATGTTGGATACTGTAAGGAGCTGGGGTTCTGCTGGGAAGGTTAATTGTTGCTTTCCCTTCAGAAAGAGAAAGAAACCCAGCTGTGGATCCTAATCCTCTGTGCTCTGTGTCGAGCTCCAGGCCTCCATCCAAAGGGTAACGTGGCAGTCAGTGACTTTGAGGAAGTACTGAATGTACCAGATGTGCAACTCCTTTGACTCCAGATGTGCAGCCCCCCCCCCCATTCCCACTCAGCCTCAGCACAGTTGTCCTGCAAAGAGGAACAAGAGACACCAGATCACTCGGAAAGCATCCCACAGACTAAACCCAGCCAACTGCAAACCCAGGCTGGCTCTGGATTCCCACACCCCTGCGTAGGCAGTTTAACCACAGGGAATGTCGCTTCCCAGCGGCAATGCTCCGCACATGGGGAACAAAACCAGCAAGGAGATGAACAAGATGAGAATGGAGCAGTGAAGCTCCGTTGGTGAGCCCAATCCTCAACAGTGGGCTGGTGCTGATTTAAAGCACGTGTGCTGTTTCTGGAAGGAACTGCTTTGATCCCAAAAGGGAAAGCTGGGATGTGCAAGTATTTGAAGCACTCCCGGACCGCTGGGTTCTGATTCCCTGCAGGCAGCCTTCTCAATGGTATTAGTTATTCCTGGAGGGAAGCCTGTGTCTAACTGCATCTGGACCAAAAAGGGGGCAAGTTATGCGTGGATATGAGCCTCTCCAGGTTTTGATGCTTCAGATGAGGTTCCAGCTTGAGGGGTGCTCCCAGAAAACATGGGCACAACAGCAGCAGGCCATTGC